GGCGCGGGGCCCGGCTCCGCAACCCCGCCGGGGCCCCGGAGAGCGACGGCCGGACCGTGACCTGCTGCCTGTTCTCGGAGCGAGAGCCGGGCGGCCCCCAGCCGACCCCCGCCGCCGCCGCCGCCCCCTCCGGCCCCGACGGCGCGGCCGACGGCGGCTCCCCGGAGCGGCGGGGCCGGGAGGCGCGGGCGCGGCTGCTGCTGCTGGAGCAGGAGCTGAAGGCCGTCACCTACTCGCTGCTGAAGCGGCTGAAGGAGCGCTCGCTGGACAGCCTGCTGGAGGCGGTGGAGTCCCGCGGGGGGATGCCCGGAGGCTGCGTCCTGGTGGCCCGCACCGAGGTGCGCCTGGGGGGCCTGGCGGCGCCCCCGCACCTCCTCCTGGGCAAGCTGTTCCGCTGGCCCGACCTGCAGCACCCCGCCGAGCTGAAGCCCCTCTGCGAGTGCCAGAGCTTCGGCGTCGCCGACGGACCCACCGTCTGCTGCAACCCCTACCACTTCAGCCGCCTCTGTGGGCCAGGTGAGCAGCGGCGAGTTGGGTTTACCCCCGGAAAACACCCGCAGATTTGGGGGTTCTCGGCTTCTGGCCCCTTCCTGGCCTTATCTGAACCCTCGTGGGGCAGCGCTGCCCCGGCCCCGCGGGATGCCCACGGGGAGATGCGCCTGGCGCGGGGTCCCCGCCGGGCATCCCCAGCTCCCCTGCCGCCAGCGATTCCAGTTGTGCGTTAAAAGCCCTTTCTCTTTTTATTTCCTTTTTTTTTTTTTTTTTTTTTCCCCTCTTCCCGCGGAGTTTCCCAGCGCTCTGGGAGCCGGAGGGGCGATAATCGGCGGCTCCATCCCGCTGGCGCCAGCCTGGCTCGCCCGTATCGGAGCCGGGCGGTCACCGCCGCCGGCTTAAAGCCGCAGGACCCGCCGGGCGCCTCGGGGAGGGCTGCGGGGATGCCCCCGCCGCGGGGATCCCCCCAACCCGCGGGGGAACCGGGGCTCCTGCTTTTCTCGGGGGTTTCTCCTTTTTTTTTTTTTTTTTTTTTTTTTTTTCAGCGTAGGCAGATCGTGAGCGTTTTCAAGGAGCGCGTTTGGTTTCCTTGAGGGTTTTGTGTTTCTCTCAGCAGCGCACGATCGTGTTTCCATGTGAGCTGGGAGCAGTTAAATGGAGCAGAGGCGTGCTCGTGTTTGAGGTGCAGAAATCGAAATGATACTTAGAGGGGTGGACACTTGGATTCATGCTGACAGAGGGTAGGATTAGGTGGGATCTTAGGAAGAAAGTCTTCCCTGTGAGGGTGGGCAGGCCCTGGCACAGGTTGCCCAGAGAAGCTGTGGCTGTCCCATCCCTGGAAGTGTCCGAGGCCAGGTTGGACGGGGCTTGGAGCATCCTGGGCTGGTGGAAGGTGTCCCTACCCATGGTGGTGGGTTGGACGAGATCATCTTTAAGGTCCCTTCCAACCCAAACCACTCTGATGCTGATGGTCCTTTTTTTTTTTTTTTTGGCAAGAACTTGGATTTTCTTTCTTATTTTGCAGTCTGGGCTCCTGCCTCACTTTGTGCTTTGCATCACTTCTTTCAAAGAAACTTCTCTGCTGGGCGTGCTTCCCCCGAAGGTCGCTAGAGGCTGGAGGCAGCTTTTTTTACTCCAGTTGGAGTGGAGTTGCGTTTGTAGGAACGGGGCGTTTATTTTAGAAACGAGCGAAGTTTCCCAGTCCCTTCGCTGCAGCCGTGGTGGTTTTCCCAGCCGTGTGTGGCTGCCAGCCCTGTGCTGGGAGTAGTAGAAAGCAGAGCTGTTATCGAGTGCCCCCTTATCGCTCTGATAATGGGTGACTGTGCCAGGCCCCACCCGCGCCGGCTGGGCGCTGGTGACAGGAGCCAAGAAAAAGCCCTGATGCCCTTTTCCACAAGTGGCTGCCTGCAGGGATCGTCCGTGTTCGTGTTTCCCACCCAGTTTACTGTGGGGTGATGTAGCTGAGGGGTGTGAAGGCACCCGTGGCAGCAGCTCTGGCTCTGGTGTGGGCCCAGCATGGCACAGGTCAGGCTGTTACATCCACACGAGGTCTGTGGCACCATTATTTTTTACTTTGAGACTCCTGAGCACCCTGGGAGAGGAGCATCCTGCTCCCTTAGGGGAGATGGGGAACCTTTTCTTACCAGCAGTAAGATGACTCCAGAGTCATCACGTGGGCAATGCTGAGGTTCTCTTTGAACTCACCCAGGCTGAGCTGCAGTTGTTGGCCGAGTGCTTTCAGGTCAGGGTGGGAGCTGAGGAGCACACTCATGTTTTGGTAGGCTGGGGTCAATGTGATGCCATTGATTTTCAGTAGTTTCTCACTGAAGTGGGTGCCTTCTCAATGCTGGTGCCATGGCTTAGCCCAGCTGGCTGCACACTCAGTTTTGGCACATTATAGTTCAAGAAACACATCACTGTCATGTTGTGGAAAGGAAAAAAAAAACCCTCCAATCAGGACACAGATTCATCAGCTTTTTGCATGGTCTTGACCCTTGCAAGGACAGCAGGAGCCAGTTGAATGACCTGATTCAGCAAAGCAGTTCTGAGGACTCGCTGAACTTGGAGCACATGACTGCCACAGTCCTGCTGCCTAAAGCCCAGCGTGTGCTCAGGAGCTTTGCGAGGTGGAGGTGGGGGTGAGCAGGATTGTGGATCTGCTGCTGAGCCACTCCTGTGCCCAGGGCTTTGTTGGGAGGGACCAGAATTGGGTGGCTCGTTGGCTGAAGCCAGGCCTGGCTCTGGTGTCAGCCTTCAGGGGCCGAGAGAGGAGCGTCTGTGGCCCAACACCCTCTTTCAGTAGTCGTGTGTTTGGGGAGCTCTTGTTAAGTCCATGTGTGTTGGAGTCACGGTTGGAAGGTTGTCTCCCAAGGCAGATGATGGAAACCTTGTTCTCTGGGAAGCAGCATTATGGTTTGTGTGGTTCAGACTGGGTGTCCAGGCATGGATATGGGATGGGGGCGTAGGCGAGACTTGCAGCGTTTTCAGTAGCAAAGCCCACCTTGAATGGTCAAGGTGGAACTCCCATTCCTCAAAAACTGGGAAAACTCTTGGTCTCCAGTTGCTCCCAGGTGTTTATTTTTAACCTTGGGAGAGTTCCTACCCTAGAAGAGAAAGCGGGAGGGTTTGCTGATAACCCGAGCACAGCACTAACCTACAGTTTTGTTTTTCCAGAGTCTCCACCACCTCCCTACTCTCGGCTGTCTCCTAATGACGAGCAAAAGCCACTGGGTACGTGTTTTCCCTCTTTTGATGTCCCAGGAACTCTTTCATGGTGCAGTCCTGGTGTTGGTTTTGAGGCAGCCCTCCCTGGCAAAAGCCAGCAAGCTGGGGTTTTATGGCTCCTCATTATTTCTGAGCAAGCATCACCTGACAGGCTTTAAGAAGTAAATGGATGTCAGTTTATCCTCCCAAATTACCATGTAGACACATGCATATTTTCCAAAATAATATGAAGCTCTATTTTTAATGAAGGCGTAATGAAAGGTTACCAGACGTCATGTTTTGTCTGCGTGTGTAATCTGTGGGATGATGGAGCAGAGGGGGAGTGGGAGCTCCTGGGTGCCATTTCCATAAAGCCCTGGCTGCTCTGCACCTTGGAGGAACCGGCTCTTACCCTTCCTCTGCTCATTGCAGTGAGATGTAGAGTCTTTGAAACTCGGCACTGTGTAATTTCTGAGTGGGGTATGACTTCTCCTGGTGAATTATGGAGTGTTTTCAAAGAAGAAGTAGTGAAAGTGGCTGGGATGGGTACCTGGGCACGGAGGGAAGGGTGCTGGAGAGCCTGACAGCCTTGGATCCTGGTCCTGCGCGCTGCATGTTGGTTTGGAGATGTTTCAAGTTGGCATCGCTGCATCCTGCGTGTCTTGCTCAGTTAAATGGGAAGCAAAGACGTGGGAAAGAAGTGAGGAATCCCACGTCCCATGAGGGTTTTTTAATGGGATCAGTGCAGCTGTGGGATTTCTCCCTTCATCTGTGGCTGGTGCCTCTGAGTTCTGGGTGTAGCGACCAAGGTGAGCCGCTCTTACTCCCCATGAGGGAGGAGGCAGACAGGGTTTGGCAGGGTGATGGGAAGGGGACAGTGTTCCTGCCTGTCCCACCCAGCCCCGAGGGAAGGCAGGAGCTATCCTGTGCCAGAGGTGAGTCCCTGCCCTGGCATCTCCCTGCGGTGCAGCCACGTGGGCACCCAGCGCCTGTCTCGGAGGGACATCATCGGCGCCTTCATCACCACAGGGCTGTGACCTGGGTGTCCTGCAAAGCCAAACTGCCTGCTTGTGGGGTTTTTATTTTTGTTAGGTGTGGAGGCAGGAAAAAAAAAAAAGGAAAAAGTTGTCCCTCCCTGCGCTCCCCCTTCCAAGTTAATTCCCTTTGGAAACTGCTTGTGCTGCAGGGAGAGATGATAGTGAGCTACACGTGACTTTATTAAAACAACAGCCAGGGACTGAAATTTGCTTCACTGGCTTGTTTGATTGGAAAAATAATAGTTAATCTGTGAGCAAACAGTTGAGCACTTAATTAGAGGGGTGTAAGCAAGAGAGAATAACAAAGACTCTTAACTTGTTAAAACAAAGTTTCCTTCGCTTCAGCAAAGAGGAAGGAAGGAAGGAAGCAAGAATAAACAGCTTCAAGAATTTTAATGGTGATAATTAAGTATAGTAACTCTGACTTGTTTAGAGGCTTAATGTAACTTTATCCAGTAAGCACCAAGTTCCTACTTGTTTGATCAACTTAACTGGAGTTATTTTTGTGGTGGAGGCAATTCAGACTTTGCATTTGCGTGGTGGAGCTACAAAGTTAATTGTTGCTTTCTGGCCCGGTGGAGAGTTCCTCTCGGGGAGGTGGTGGGAAGCTGGAGAGCCACTGGTGCTCACGTAGCCCTAGCAAACACAGGAGGACTAAAAGTGCCTTTTTTTTTTTTTTTTTTTTTTTTTTTTTTTTTTTTTTCTTTTTTCCCCCAGATCTATCAGATTCCACGTTGTCTTACACTGAAACAGAGGCTACAAACTCGCCCAACGTCACGCCCGGAGAATTCTCAGGTCGGCAGATGTTTGCACCTTCCCGCCCGTGTGGTGTGAGCTGGGGGCTGGGGTGGGGCAGCAGGGGGATGTGGGGGGGTATGGTCCTTCTGTGGGTTTGTGTTTTTGGTGTGGAAGGGAGGGAGAGCAGTTACTCGAGTTGGTTGGTCGGAGATGCCAGCGCTCCGCGGGTTGCGATAAGATGCTGCTCGTGGGGCGAGCGGGGACGTTTGGGAAGTGGCCACTCTTGTCCCCTGTGGAAGCCACTCCCGAGCTCCAGGGCCGTGGGCTGCTGTGGGGTGGGGTTGTACACCCTCCCCATTTCCATGGCAGGAGGAGGGAGGCCGTTCCAAATGATGCTGCCTCGTGGTGGTTCTTGCCGAGTCCGTCGGGCTTGTGTTACCTGTTGGGCCCTGGCCCCGCAGTGCAATCCCTGCTTTCATGAGCAGGCTCCCAGCTACGGTGCCATTGAAGCTCCTGAACAAAGCTTGGCTTAATTAGGTCCTGGTTTTTGCTCTGCCACACCCCTGCAACCTTTCATTCCTTTAATGGGGCTCTG